AACAACAATACAGGTGCTAAACTCTGCAGCGTGTAACAATAACACACGCATAACATTATCCTATGAACTCTATTCTATCTATCAACAACAATGAACAACTGGCTGCCTAAGCATTACCTATCGACTGCTGAGCTTACAAATTCATGGGCAGGATTAAGTGATAAAAAAACATGTGGCTGTAGTGCGTATCTTCTAAGAATGAGGTGAGGATGAGGAGGTCGTTCTTGATTTTACTTCGGCTATTCGCTCTGCGAATTTGGGTGTAAGTTCCAGTCGATTAACCATAGTCCAAGCAACCAATCGGTCCACAGAATGAGTGTCGCCAGATTTCTCTGTAAGATAATGAAGTAGTTTAGCTTTGCAAAAACTTCAATACGCCAGTTTAGCAGGCCTAGACAGTTGAAGGCTAGAACGGTGACAGTAGCAGAAACTCATTGAAAGCGTACCTGCTTCTTTCAGCCATATATTCTGCAAGAACTCAGTAAGCTCGAAGAGTTGCATGTCATTAACACGGTGGAACTTCTTTTTTTCATTCTTAGCCGAAGCCTTCACCTGCTTCCTTTTGGAAGTTCCGCAAAAGCAATCGAGGACTAGCAACAGATCAGGTGACAGAAACGTGGACTGCAAGATTTGGAAGAAAAGATAATACGTAGATTCGAAAATAAAACAGTTTCAAAATTATATCTAATTGATGATATGACTTGAAGCGACCGAATGAAAGACCAAACAATGTTAAACCCACTTGTATATCCTGTGCGGAATTCTTCTTCATTCTCCTCTTTTCCGCGAACATGCAATCGGTGACTAGGTTAGCAAAATCTTCAATGATTTGAAGAGCGTGCTGTTAAAATATATTATCAACATGGATTCTGGATAAACAAAGAGATAACTGATATAAACCAGCATGCCTTATGGTTAGTAACATCATGTAGAGACTTTTTGAAAAATCTTCCAGAAACAGAAACCTGTAATTCATAAATATTTACACTGACAATTTAAAGGAATACACAAACCTTGAGGAACACCAGTCTAGCGGAATCAAGCTGGTTCAATCGAACTAGTGTGACAATGAGGTTTGCTACAATAGCCGAGGGATGATCGTATTGAAGACAGTGAGAGAAAAGTTTACCTGAGAAAAGCGCAACTAACATCAAGCGTTTACAGAGGATACTTGTTTTATAGTATTAAAGTGCAACATACTAGCCAGTGCAGCTTGCTTCTTGGGGTCTTCAATTGACAAAAGCAGTCCTTCCCAGATCAGCTCTGAAGCGCTAGTTGTTCCACAGTTTGTCGAAAGACGTTGCCACCCTTCGTAAACTTGCGCCACATCACTATAGTGACAACAGCGTAATTCAACTCAACTACATCTAAAATTTACAACTGGCTGCGAGAGACGCCCCATGAACCGGAAATTTGGGAGAGGAAGGGGGCTCTACGTGAGTAGAAAAGAAAGGCGACAAAAGTCAAAAAGGTTAGCAAACTTTTAGCAGTTCCAGATCCTTCCTACATTGGCCACCAATAAACATCCCTCCTGATTTAATTTGGCAAAAGGCCGCAGAGAATAGGCAGGAAGCAGCCTTTTTCCACAGTGATTTGTCGCTCGAGCTGTGGCCTTTAGCAAGATTGTTTGTAAATCGTTCAATGCTTTGTAAGTCTCCAAAACATTATCTACTTAAGTACTCTCAATAGACAAAAGCGCCGAAAAGCGCGGCGCCGTCTCTTCAATTCAAAAAAAAA